ATTATATTAACATATAATATATGTAATCATCTTTACCCTTCCTTTGTTTGGAAGCTTTTTTTATGCAGTAGGCATCTTCTTCATTATGTTATCTGTAGAGCACCCGCACTCTATTTTCTAGAGCTCATCGCAAGTTGCTGCTTTGGATGCTAGGGATAACCATGCCATGGCATTCTCAATTTCATTGACACTTCCGACCTTGCTCAGTGGCTACTGTGCAAACTAGGAGACATCATTGTAGGCAAATAAAAGTTTTTTTAATAATGGTTATTGTTTGCTGCAACCTTAAAACATGGACCCCCAACCTACTTTACTTGCCACTTTGACATCGATCTACTTCATTAGCGGTCGCCTTCTTGGTTGGGCTACTCATCTTGATCCCACACCAACTCTGCTTAATAAAGCTGAGCATTTACTGTTCTTTGATCTTGAAACATTGTTTGACTTACAAGGCTCTCTTTCTTTGGAAGCTCCTATTTGATAGGAGCTTAATCCCACATTGTTCCTCTAGAATGACCAATAATATTTTTTGAAGTTTCAGTCACAATCTTGATGTTATTTACAATTTACCACCATTTCTCCCTTTTACTATTACTGTAACACCTTTTGGTTGCATTCTTAGTGTAAATATGGAAGGTATAAATGTAATGCTCTTCTCCTTGCTGCCTAAACCCAATTCAAGCAATATCTATAAATTCATCAAAAAATTTGTTTACCATTGATTCCACTAAACTAGGGTTAAGATATTATGTGATACAAATTGTGGCTAGCTAAATTTTTTCTCTGTTTATTGTCCTATAGTTCTTTCTATACATGTCAAGGGTGAATGGCACACTGTAATGCACAAATCCTCATGGAACTATTGTGCATGGCGCATGGCGCTTGGCGCGGCACTTAACATTTTAACTATGAAGCAAAATTTATAAAATTATCAAAAAAGTAGATAAATTCAAAGTTATTAAAATACATCCTAAATAACAATTTAGAGAGGGCAAGCCTACTCATATATGCACATAACATCCTGTTTGATCCTCATACGCTGCCCAAGTTACAACACTTTGACTCATTTGATCTCTTGGCTAAGCATGAATGATGATAAAAAGTATGATGATAAAAAGTTCACTATCTTCATGATTGCTCAAAAGGAAATGAAGAATTTGTCAAAGAGGTCTTGAAGGATGTGATGGAGATAGAAGTAATTGTATAACTTCTCTTTTTCCTCATTTAATTCGATAGACTTTATATGTATTTATGTATTATGAAATTGCATTTTTAATTATACTTTGCATATCTATACTAATTAAAAGTGGCATGCGATTTTACATTTTTCAATTCAGAAAGGAATCATAGTCATTCAGTGGCTTCCACCAAAATTTTTACTTTATCTTTGAGTTCTATGGGTTGCATAAAATTTTTAGAGAGAGAATTCAAACCATACAATTAATTTGATGATTATATTATATCATTCATATATGAATTAAGAAATTTGTAAAGTCGTGAGAATACAACGTGCTAGTCTCAGTTTTGACTAAGTGACCCATGGATAATTTTTTTTTTTTACTAATTTTTCATGTATGCCTGCTTTTTATGTAGAAATTTTTATGGAGCCTATATATACCCATAAAATTATGTTGGAATGGTTGACATAATTTTTATCAGATTTTATTTGCATTCTTTCTTTTTTCTTTTAATTGCTCTTTTAATCATATGCAAATACTCTTTAAGTTTCGAACTTCTCTTTGTCTTTATATGTTTTTTTGGCCATTTATAATTGATTTCCATATATGAATTTAATTAAATATCAATGTAACACATCAACTCGTAATAAAATTTAAAAAATACTTTTATATATTTCTATCATTTTAAATTGTATTTAAAAGTTTTTAAACGCATATAACCCTATTTTAAAAACTCAAGTTTTTTACTTGATATGTTGTAAGAGTATAACTTTAAAAAAATTGTTAATAGTTATAACTATAACTTTTATCAAAAATCAATGAAAATAATTTTAAAGAATAAATAAGTATAATCTAAAATATAAGCATTTGTTTAATTTCAATCTTATTTAATTTATTTGCTATTTTACATCTAGAGTAAATTTAAAATTAAACCTCTATGATTACATTTAAGTTGCTAACTGCTCATTATTCCATAGAATAAATATGCGAAAACTCGGTTGTTTAAATTTGTATATAATTTTTTTGTTCTCAAAGGTTCAACTGTTATTCTTAGTACTAAGTTGTCAGTTTGATTCAATGTCATTGTATATATGTATATATATATATATATATATTTTTTTTTGGAAAAGGGTTGTATTTAAAAATACTACTCCCCATATGTGTTAGCCGTCCCCATAGGGATAAAACCTGAGTCAGAGGAGTTACGACTGACAACGCAACTGTCTATCAACTTGTCACCCTAGGCGTGTGTGTGTGTTTATATATATAGCGATTCTCTGGTTTGATCCTTTGGCTTTATCGTCGTGCTCGACGACGAATTCTGCGTTCGCCGATTCCTCTTATGCATCATCGTCTCTTTCTCTCCAACGACGAAGGGACTTCCAGCTGCTGCGGTTTCGTCGTCTCTCCTTCGCGCCATCCAGCTTTTGCGTGAATTTCGTCGAGCTGCAACTTTCGCGGCTCGTCATTTTTTCTGCGTCGACCTCGCTGAGCTGTGACTGTTCCACGGCTTCGACATCTGCGGTTTCGCCCCGACCTCTTCGACTCCCCTCTGTCCGATTTGGCAGGGCTTCTCCTGCGCAAACCTTTCTGCTATGCTTGTGTGAAGCACGCTCATGGCCTCGGGGCTTTTTTACGCCGCCGCCCTCGCCAATGATAATCCCGCCAAATCCTCAGATGCTACAGTGGTTCACAAACGCAGCTTCCCTTTTCACCTTGCATATAGTTCGATGTTCCTGCAGATGTATCATGATTCTGTTGCAGGACATGGAGATTGCAATCTCATAAAAAAAGTAGAGAAAAAGACGGGAAAACCAACACTATTTTTCTCTGACGCTGAAATTTCAACTCGTGCAGAAAAATACAAATTTTTACTAGTTGGAAAATTCCAATTAGGTCGCCATAAGATGATGATTATCAGAAAGGTTTCCAACTAGTTGGGGCTTGGCAGTTGGGTCTTTTCGATGACTTCGAACTAGTTGGGGCTTGGCAGACGAGTTTTTTCGACGAAAGAAATGTTATGATACAACTGAGCATAGAAAAATATTACACAAGGATTTTCTTAAAGAAATTCATCACGATCGAGGGCAATCATATGAAATTGCTCGAATGGACCCCTGATTTTGATCCCAGTCAAGAACCCCCAATTGCGCCTATCTGGTTCTCATTACCCGACGAACTCAAGCTTCTCAAGCTTCAATTCTTTGACTTACCTATCTTATATGCAATTTAGATTATCCTTGAAAAACCTTTGCAGATAGACATACCTACAGTTCATTTTTAAAGGCCTTATATTGCAAGGATTTTGATTAAAAGAGATATTACACTATCAAATGTAGAATAAGTCTGGCTTGGCTCTGCTCATAATGGTTATTGGCAAAAAATCATTATGGAACAAAAACGTTACTACTGCAAGCACTTCAAGATGTTTGGATACCCGCAAGAGAAATGCTTCAGATTGCACTCACAGTTGAGAACCAATAGTTAAAAATAGGAACATGCTGTTAGTGCATCCCACGTGCTTGAACGCGCTCCCAACAAACCTGATGACAACCAAACCTGATAAGCGCAATTGAATGATTTTGATTGAAAGAGATTCTACACTACCAGATGTAGAATAAGCCTGGCTTGGCTCTGCTCACAATGATTATTGGCAAAAAATCATTATGGAACAAAAACCTTACTATTGCAAGCACTTCAAGATGTTTGGACATCTGCAAGAGAAATGCTTCAGATTGCACTCACAGTTGAGAATCAATAGTAAAAAAAAGGAACATGTTGTTAGTGCACCCCACGTACCTGAACGCGCTCCCAGTAAATCTAATGACAGCCAAACCTGATAGGCACAATTGAAGGATTTTGATTGAAAGGGATATTACACTACCATATGTAGAGTAAGTCTGGCTTGGCTCTGCTCACAATGATTATCGGCAAAAAAATCATTATGGAACAAAAACCTTACTACTGCAATCATTGCAAGATGTTTGGACACCCGCAAGAGAAATGTTTCAGATTGCACCCATAGTTGAGAACCGATTGTCAAAAACAGGAACATGCTGTTAGTGCACCCCACGTGCTTGAACATGCTCTCAGCAAACTTGATGACAACCAACCTGAGGAGGGAATCACCACAAGACAGGAAATTGTGTCTGCTCCTGGGAACCCTTCTTTTGATCATACTATAAGGGATAATGTTCGGACCGAAAGTCAGGATAGCCCCGCAGCTCCTATTCAGAAAGCATCAAGTGCAGAGGTGACAACTCATACTTCATATACACTGGAACCTATCGCTGTGACAACGGTTGTCTTTCCTTCTACTGTGGTTCTAATATCTAATCAGACCGAGGATCACATGAGCCAGTCTTCAGATGGAGAATAACAGGTTTACACTTCCCGGCGGAAGAAGACTGGGGGCAAACTCCAACTTGGAAACTTAATGAATGATACTTTGGTTACTCCTGACAATGACACGACACTTCAAAGTTTGTTATATGACTCCGATCTTAAAACTAGAGGAAGAGATATGACTAAACTGGCTCGTCCCTAGCTATTCGTTTTCTGCAAGTTTTAAATTTTTTGAGTCTATCTGTATCTTTTGTTGAGATAGTACTGTGCGTGGTATCGTATGAGTAGAGTGTCTCTATTGGGTTCTCTCATACAACATTTATGTATCTTTTCTATTTCAATAAAATCAGCCCTTGCGCTTTTCAATTATCCTTTTTATTTCCAAACAGTTCATTCTTAATTAAAGTTATTATAATTATAGTAATTGTCAGACCAGAAATTTATTTGCTTATTATTTTTCCATGGTCTCCTATTCAGGCAAGAATAATTCAGGGAACAGGGTTTATGAATGAAGATAGCTTTGTGCTAACTGAGGAAGTTTCCCAAGGTAAGGAATGGATTCCTCAAGATGTTGAAGTTATTGTAGACATGAGAAACCATTCACCTGATCCGTTAGAGATTCAGATCCTGAGTTCCAAAGAAACCATCAGGCCCCTCAACGAGCATGAATACCTTGTTGAAGTAGAAGACATAAAGGCAAAATACTCTGACGAGACTGACATGGACACCAGCCTCCATGATGGTGATGTGTCCTGCCTGGCTACTTGCAGCACTGATGACATTGAAGATGCCCCCTTCAAAAGCTCTTACTCGTATGAAGTAGCTGAAGGTCGAGCCGATGATGAATCTGGTACCATGACATCCTGTGTCGGAACGCGGTGGTTTCGTGCTCCCGAACTCCTTTATGGTTCTACAAACTATGGACAGGAGGTTGATCTCTGGTCTTTGGGTTGTATTTTTTCAGAGCTACTTAGCTTAGAGCCGCTTTTTCCGGGGAGTTCCGACATCGACCAGATAGGCAGAATCATCAGTGTTTTGGGGGACTTCAATGAGGAGACATCCCCTGGTTGTTCTAAATTACCAGATTATAACAAAATTGCCTTCAACAAGGTTGATAATCCTATAGGCTTGGAAGGATGCCTTCAGAACCGTTCTTCGGCCGAAGTTGCTTTTGTGCGAAAACTGGTTCGCTATGATCCTGCGACCAGAGCAACTGCAGCGGAGTTGCTGGCTGATGTGTACTTCAAGGAAGAGCCTCTCCCTGCGCCTTTAAATGAACTGAAAGTTCCTTCATCAAGGGATGGGCAGGATGAGAAATCTTCTGGCGAGTGGGGAGATTACAGGGACATGGGATCTGATTCGGATTTTGATGATTTTGGTGGGGTGACAGTTGCCAGCACTGGCAAAGGTTTCTCGATCAGATTTTCTTGATGTACGAACTTCATCAAGGATGTTTCATATATAATATTTATTTATGGTAACAAAAATTTTCTATTAGCTTAGCAATTAGTGTGTGGTAATGCAAGAATAATGAAGCTTAACCTGGTTTACAGCTACAGAATGTTTTTGGTGAGAATGTAATATATCAACATTCGGTTGAAAAAGGGGGGAGTTGGAACTGTAATTCTGCTTCAGGCCATAATGATTGCCAGGTTGATATTGTTTTGTCACATCTGAAATTGCTATGCACTGAAATATTTTGGCTGCGGAAGTGATCCTTAAAGAGAGATTGTGATTGGAAAGATTTTAAGAATTTAAGTAAGTTTTGTCAAGTTTAAAATTTTCCTAGAAATATAACGAAACCTGTTGTCAAATTATGAGTTTGGTATGATGAGATATTCAAGCTTTAAGTATACCCTATAAGAACCACAACTTCATATACGAATTTATACTTCAGTACATATTATCTTTTAAAGCATTATGGACAGAGTAGTAAAATGCCCCCCCACACCCCCCTCCCCCCCTGCCTCGAATGTAACTCAAAATTTTCATAGCTTCATTGTTGTAAAAAACAACTCTTTGCAATTATTTATATATTTTATTAATTAGCCAATAAACTATCTAATATCTACTCAATGTTACTTATTATGTCCTCCTTGTATAAGTCAACTGTCTGTATCCATAAACCATTCTATTAAGAAGTATTTTCCATTGCAGTTATGGTTAAATGTACATAATCTTACATAAAAAAATAAATAAAATTTATTCACAATCTTTTAGTATTTCAGCACAACTTGTTTCAAATTTCTTATTCAAATTTTAAGCTCTTATATATTGTGGAAATTTAATTAATTAAGCAAAACTTTTTTTAAGTAGTTCATTTAATTATTACTTTCAGTTTTTCAAAAAAATCAAAATTCAAGGTATAATTTTTATCTTGCATTTAATTAACTCAATTCGTCATAGTTCATGTAATTCAAGCAATTTAAATTTAGATGGCTTCATAATTAATTTAATTTAAAATATTTGCATATGGAATAGAAATATATATTTTTAAATTAGTACGATCAACCCTTCTTACATAAATTATCCTCAATATTTTTTAATTTCATAGAAATTTTTAAAAGAAGAGGCATAATTATTATTCTTGATTTTCTTCTTAAATTGCATTTCTTTTAATTCGTGCCTTTCGGCATTTACAAAAGAAATCATCTTATCTTGATGTTTGTTTTTGTAATTTTTCTCTTTTTATTTTCAAAAGAATCGTCAGTTTGTCTATTGTCGTATACATCCTTTTTCTGAATAAATTTCTCTTCCAGATGATATGAATGATCAAGAGAAGATAGGAATCAGAAAAGAAGAGACGTACAACACAGATGTCAAAGAAGAGAAAGAACGTGGAGCACCTACGTGTGATAAATCTCACAAGGATAGGACAATAATGTGTCCAAACAAGGTCGAGCGGAAGCATCTTGGACCGATATCCATGAAAGAATACATACGTAGACTACCCATAACCAGAAATTTAAGTGTATGTGCTTGTTCTAGAGTTTAGAGTGCTCTCAAGGTGACGTATCTTAGTTGTTTAATTACATCATCGGGGTTTCTCAAAAAAACTCTCTATCCAAAAGAGTTTTGCTTACATAGTAGTGCTAACTAGCACTGGGCTATCAAAGGATGGTTATCTCGCGGGAAAATGCTTCGATGCTTTCAAAGCTCTGGCTAAGCCACGGGGTGGAGAGTGAGACTCTCACAGTCCCTATGTTGGTAATAGACTCATTAGCATACATATCCTGCGAAATAAACGAATCATCCCAACGGGGAACCCCGTACGTCAATGCACATTTGGGTCATAAGCGCAAAGAACAAATCCTCATATCTCAAATGGGCGACAGCTCATCTGCAATTAGGCCATCGAGATGATGCCAACGAAGGCAAGAGGAACAAAAGAGCTCAATCGAAGTAGTTAAAGGAAGGGAGGAGTGGTCCCTATAAGGTAAAGGTAGCCAAGTCAAGTTACCATCCCAAGCTACAAGACCTTAAGTCTACTTAGTCGTGAAGATAGTCAACTTAACACGTCCAGAGATCTCCGGCCAACAATCCGTGAATTGCGTCATCTACGGGAGATCTCGGTAGCCCTAAGGTCAAGGAAAGAAACTCTATCCTTTGACTATTAGTTGGAGCTCAAAGAGGTGGATCCTATACTGGCCAAACTGGCAAGGATGCTGTAGAAAAAGAAAGAAGAGGTTGGTTCAGTTACAAAGCGGGAAACACTCTGACAAAATGACTTACACCCCGTCTAGGTTGAAGAGCATGCTAACACCCTACACGCACTAAACAACCACCTATGTAAATTTTATGTTAGGCTAGTCTAGTTGGAAAAAAGCAGAGGCTTTTCCTCAAGACTTGTAAATATGATGTTGTTATCTACCACAATCCTAAGCATGGAGTCCCTATTAAATATGACTGGGTTATGGCCGTGCATGCTGCCCGTTTTAAAACTGGGTCGAAAGCCATGCAAGAAAGTGAAAGACACTTAAATCTTTCAATCCTAAAATTTTGATTATCTAAATCTCTTATTAGGATTTTTAGTAAAAAAAATTATAAATTTAGGGTCCTTAATGAGCACGTATTATACTTTTTGTGATACTTCAGATTCACAGAAATAAATAATAAAAGCAAAAGAAGCATGCAAGCACTCAATAAAAAAGCAAAACACTCCAAAATATATAAAAGAGGCTAAATGTCTCTTGGATCTAAATATCCCACGAAAAAATAGGAAAAACAATCAGACTCTGCATATACATTACGGGTCCTAGATTTATACAAAAATATAAAATTCATATTTAAGGTACGGGACATGAGCTGCCGCTTTTGGTCCCCAACGCATGGTTCAATGTTTCATCCACATGAAAACTCATGCCCATACCTTATGTCAAATACAGACTCAGCCTAGGGTCTCTATTAAATACATTTGAAAAGAAAACAAAAACTCGACCTACAAAAAAGACAACGTTAGTAGGGGAGCACATCCAACACATACAATCAATCGTGCCTTATAATCGGAGGAGCTAAATAGCACTTGTAAGAAAAAGGGTTAGAAATCATGACGGTCTCCCTCTTAAAGTTACTTGTGTGTGTGCATATATGGATCTGACTCCCTGCAGATTAAACACGTTAGCATACCAAAAAGCACAAAAGGTTACACATGGCTAACACAAGGAAATCCAACACAGAACAATATTTAGAGGTGTCAAAAATCACTTATCATCCTAAATCCTAGCCTAGCACACCATCTAATGATAAGCGTCCTAACCAACATGTAAGTGCAGGGTAAGTCTCCGGGTATGTATGACTTTGACGGGTCATCGCACCTGCCCCGTCCTAAAGATCTAAGGGATCTAAAAGGTGTCACATATGATGGAATTTAAAAAGGATTTATCCTACATACAACCTAGTTTGCTACATGCATAGTTTTAAAATTATGGCGGATGTAGTAAGTAGAAAAAGTATATATATTTTTAAATTTTAAAATAAGGGTTATTAAATGTCGGCCTGTAACATGCAAAGTGACACAAGTTAGATCCAATGGATTGTTAGCACAGTCATACTTGTATCAATCCAAATGACTTAACTCACATTGCTCACCGAGAACGACTAGACAAGCAATGCTCGTTAATGCATTGCGATCAACATAGAGTCACTCACCTACCGAGCCTTGCTCGCTATCCGTGCACACATGCTAATGCGAATACAAATAATCATATGATAAAGTGATGAGTGTGTCGTGGAGGCGGTGACTTGGAAAGATAGGTGTGTAATAATGACAGTGACCCCAAAGAGTGGGCGTACCGTGAAGGCAGAGGCTCAACAGATAGGTGCGTTGTGGAGGCAAATGCCTGAATGCTAGGTGTGTTGTATAGGCAGTGATCCAAAAGTATGGGCGTGTCATGGAGGCAGAGGCTCGACAGATGGGTATACCGAGGAGGCAGTGACCCGGAAGGGTGGGCATGCCATATAAGCAGAAGCCCAGAAGCTTGGTGTGCACTAGAGGCAGTGACCTGAAAGAATGGGCATGCTAAGAAGACAAACAATTTAAATGTAGATGGTTTCATAATTAATTTTATTTAAAATATTTTCATATGAAATATTTATATATATATATATATATATATATATATAATTAGTACGTTCAACCCTTCGTACATGAGTTATCGTCAATTTTTTCTTAATTTCATAAAAAAATTTAAAAGAAGAAAGGTATAATTATTATTCTTGATTTTCTTCTTAAATTGCATTTCCTTTAATTTGTTCCTTTGGACATTTACAAAAGAAATCATTTTATCTCAATGTTTGTTTTTGTCATTTTTCTCTTTTTATTTTTGAAGGAGTCATCAGTTTGTTTATCATCGTATACTACCCTTTTCCAAATAATTCTCTCTTCTAGATCATATGAATGATCAGGAGAAGAGAAGAATAAAAAAAGAAGGGTCATACGATAAACATGACAAACAAGGGAAAGAATGTGGAGAACCTACGTGCGATAAGTCTCACAAGGAGAGGACAAAAATATTTGTCCAAACAAGATCGGGCGGAAGCACCTTGAATCGGTATTCACGAAAGAATACCTACATAGACTACCCATGACTAGAGATTCAGGTGTATGTGCTTATTCTGGGGTTTAGAGTGCTCTTAAGTTGATAATTCCCACTTGTTTAATTACATCATGGGGTTTGCCTGAGAACACTCTCTATCCAAATGAGTTTTGCTTACATAGTAGTGTTGACTAGCATAAGGCTATGAAAGGATGTTTATCTCATAGGGAAATGCTCTGATGCTTTCAAAGCTCTTGCTAAGCCACAAGACAGAGAGTGAGTCTCTAACGGTCCCTACATGAGTAACAGACTCATTAGCATACAGAACCTACGAAATAACTGAATCATCCCAACAGGGAACTTCACATCAATGTACATTTGGGTCATAAGAGTTGAGGACAAATCATCACATGATGGGTTAATGCTAGGCTTGGTGTATTTTGGTCTTGGCATGAGGGTTCAATTTTTGTGATTTTTGGACTTGGGGTGAAATTTGATGTGGGGTTGATGTAACTTATGGAAGTGAGCATTGATTTTTAAATTGGGGAATTATGGAAGTTGAGAATTTTGGATGATTTTGAAAATTTTGGGTAATTTGCTGAGAAATTGGGTATTTTAGAAATTTTGGAGGATTT